ATCACTTCATCAGTGACGTAATTTTCTGGCTTTAACAAGACGTGTCTTCTCTGAACTGCACAGAAAACAACGCCTCTGTCGAAACGTGGGTTTTGGTGTGGACGGGACATAAATTCTGACAGCGTCAAGCTATTTTACTCCGATACGCATGCGCAGATAAAGCTCGGTGTAAACGTAGGCATGCGCAGTGAGTTGGAGGCAACACGGTGGGATGCCAGGAGCAGAACTGCTTCAGTTTTGGCAGGCAGGAGAAATCACTTAGCCAGAGAAATGATTCAAAGTAGCACGATTCGTTATACACCATACTCAGAGCAGTAAATGATTCACAGGCTATTAAATAACATCGGAATTCTTGGTGTTGTCACTGGATAACATTATTTTGCATGTTCACAAAATTCCTGTGACCATCCTCTAGGTATCGTTTATGACATGATTAACCCTTTGAAGCCGAAGATCGTCTGAATATTATTTATGAATTCAGTCCGTACCGCGAAGAAAACACTACACCTCACCATTACGAAAATCAGCTGGTTAACCCTTTGAAGCCGAAGCTCGTCTTCATAATATTTACGAATCCAGACCGTACCGCGAAGAAAACACTTCACTTAACCATTAGAAGTCGAATCAGGCGGTACCACATAAGATTTAACAAAAGAACATCCCGGTCAAAGCCTTAACAGGAATTGAATATGGGATGTCCCAATGCCCAGCCACTTCAGAATGACTTCGACCGAACACCGAACTTCACCAGCTGAGTACTTGGAAGATCGCGGGTTTAAATCTCAGCCCGAGAATCGGATATTCCGACTAAAGTCTCCTCCACACGAAAAAAAAAACACTATCGCCAATGTTTTCCATTAAATAAGCTCATTAATTGGGTGTTGTGCAACGCACGATGTGGAACCGTGGTTATAGTATTCGTTTCTTGAGATTGGTGGTTTAAATAATGTGGTGGAGACCGGCAACTTTCGTCAGCAACATCCCTCCTTAGGGATGCGAGTCACTTCCGGTCTCTGCCAGAACGAGAAGACTTAATGGAGTCCGTGTCTTCATAACCGTTGTTTTGCGGATGTCTGTTATTTGTGAAATTGTAATTTTACATTCTCTGCAGGACAGTAATTGCGTGGCGGATTACGTACAATTGAAGATAATGGACGTGAAACATCGCGTAATGAAGTCCTTGTCTCCGTAACTTGTGGCGTGGGTGTCTTCTCATTGCGGAAGTTGATTCTGGCATCTATTCAGAATACTGTTTAATTAAAATGAATGGGCAATGCGACTTCACCAATTGGTTCGGGCAGTCATACAAACAGAATTTATGTCTACGAATTTGAAGAAAATATCAAATTTTTGCGAAAAAGTGTTGCATGTACACAGAAATCAACTAGAAACGTTGGACAATCCCTCCAAACTGAATATGCAGGTTTTTATTGAAGTCATTCTCTGTCCGGGATCTGCTCAATGCTGACAATGAGTAACTCGTCGATACTTGTTCAATTTTTATCAGTCTAATCACAATAAAATATTATTATTAAATATTAAAATATTATTACAATTAATATTTAAATATTTAAAATATATTAAAATGATGCTCTCTATCGAAATGTTCGATTTACATTAGAGCATCATCTTTTACACTACTTGTTTCAGTTCTAAATTATCATCTCATGAACTCGTCCATAGCTGATCGATTACGTCCAAATCCACACTGATTGGCCTCCAATAATTTTATCTACAAATGGCGTTGTTTTTCTCAAGTAGATGGTAACGGTGATGTTCCTCGATAATTAATATGGCTTTTGTTTGCAAGAATATAACCTCAATCTGTGCAAAGTTTTCGCCACTGGAAGGGAAACCATACCAATCACATTTTAATTTCGTCAGGATTGACTTTTCTAGTGTAGACATTTCAGTGCTTTGAATTCTACGATACCCTTACTGGTGGTTAAGGGTTGTATATTTCATTTTGTCCTTCTAATACCAGTTTTAAGACACTTGACCGTTATCGGGGTACAAAATAGTCCAAATTAAAAATAATACTCGGTCTACAATTTACAAAAAAATTTCTGCGAAACCCGTGAAAGATTTTGAGAACCCTTTGAGGGGTTCGCTAACCACATTTTGAGAACATTTGGTTTAAAAATAGCCACGATGGCAGGGAAACCGCGCAACTGTTAATATAATTGCCTAATGAAACCATGTAAGTTACTAGCACCACTACGTCGTGGAACTCCGAGGCAGATACGTGAAGAAGGCGACTTGACTTCACACACAAATTCTTTCAAATTTGAAATTTAGATGTTAGAAATCGTACCAAAAGAAGAATGTATAACAGCTAACGAAACAAACGTTTTGAAAACTAAAATAACAATTAATTTCGAACATACTGATTACTTATTTTCTTTCTGAAGGGTTTAAAAAAATCGTCTTCCTTACGTCGTCTCTTGTTTTACGTGACTGCTACTGACTTCAAAACCCTAGTTTTCCTAGCAAAGATACAAGCCACTGCAGGAGAAAATTCAAATCAAAATGTGACCCTACAGTAATTTGTCAATTCTGAGTCGAGAATTGGCTGCTAGTTTTCTAAAACAGTACCAGGAGGGGTTCCTTGGCACTTGGGTTCAAAACTGTTCTTGGCCCGAAGTAAGCAACAAGTTTGACGGCTCTGACGTAAGTGAAGATGCGATTTGGAACTTCGAATGTCAGGGAGTCCCTACAGGAAAAGTTATTTGCATCTAAGTTACATTTAGACGTACAAATAGTCACATGGAGCGAGGGTAACACTGAACCAACAGACATTTAGTTATGAGAGTCAGGTAGGTAGCGTGAAATCGGCCAGGGCTTCACGTTTCCAATGTCCTCCGACACAGCTTCCAGTTCCCATCTGAGTTACTGCATCATTAGGAAGTGCGCGCAACTACGGCGACATCTCGAACTTTCCAGAGTCAAATCAAAGGAACCGGCTTAAAGAGCCATTACAAATTGTGTCAGAATAGGTAAATAAACAGCTGATCCTACATTACAGTCCAATTTTATTTATTTAGTGTTCTGTCTGACGACAGGTCCATATGAACAGGATCCTTCCATCCTTTTCTCGGACTGGGACCTGTTCATATACGTTCTTGGCAGATGATCCAGAAGTGGTTTGACATTGCCTTCTTCTGTGTGTGAATGAAGTAATTGTTGGGATGCCCTTTTCTCGGACTGGGACCTGTTCATATACGTTCTTGGCAGATGATCCAGCAGTGGTTTGCCATTGCCTTCTTCTGTGTGTGAATGGAGTAATTGTTGGGGTGCCACGGAAGAATACTCCGTGTTGCCTAGACCACGGCCTTGCCCAGCACAAGTTATAAATTCGGGCACTGCCGGGAATCGAACCCGAGACCCCAGGATTACAAGGCCAGCGTTCTAACCGCTAGACCGCCGTGGCTATTTCTGAATAATTAACAACAATGAACGAGGCACAAGACAAAACACGTGCCGGCCAGATTCTCAGGCACGTCATATGGGGTGAAACGATTTGAAGATCTGGGATATTGGGTGTGAGGAAAAAACACATATGGCATAAATAATCAACAAGCCAATGAAAATGGTTTGTTCAAAACTGCTTCAACAAACAAAATAACCAACCTCGTAGACCGCAAATCCTTCTTGATAAGCAGACACTCACTCGACTCGCCTTCTATTAAATCCGACGGTTCATACAGCGGGAAATACATCTAGTCCACAACCTCTCGATCTATTTTCGTAAGACCCACTTTAATACGATCCTCCCATCTTGAAAGAAGTCTTCAAAACGGTTTTCCGACTATGCGTGCTACATGTCCCGTCCAGCTCATCCTAATTCATTTCATCATCCTGAGAATATGTTATGTCCATTACAGTGGCCAAGCTGTCCAAAGCGGCCAATCCAAGTACGAGTCTGACTCGGCGAGCCGGGCTCGGATATATTTCACCACAGATGCGTAGAAGACTCGGCTCGTGACACCCCCACCCACAAACGAGTTATGGCTCGATGGAACCCGAGGCGAGCCGGACTCGTACGTGGATGGGCCGCTTAAGGAGTGTCACAATCCTGGATCGTTCCAACGCTGGGATCGTGCGTTCGAAACCCACTCGAAATATGGCGTCTCTATACAACTTTCTGTGTAGTCGCAGTGTGGGATGATTTCGGGGGTTGATTCGTGAGGCCCAATCCATAAAATCAGGAGGAAATTTGTTGTGAAAGTCACAGACTGACACCATGAGATTTCTTCTTATGGGGATGGATGGGCATATTTACAACCACCAAATTTTGGGTAAATTGTAAAAACAAATCACCACAGCAGATTCAATGAGACGTCCTTTGGGGACCAGTAGACGGGATCGTTCAACCGCACTCTTTCTCATTAAAGTAATTTATTCTGTATAATGAATTCGTCTCGGGCTACCAGCTGCGTCAGGCGGTTGGACGACGAAGATGGTTCTCAAAACGTCGCTGTTTTCTTCATTAGAACACATTACATGGCTGGTACCTCGAGAATAATTCATTTTACTAGTCGTCATAAAAACAAAGGAGAAAGTTACTTCTAAAAATACCGCACAAAGATAAGTAACACTTGTTGTTTAATTTTAACCGTCTAATCACAATAAAATATTTTATTAAATATTAAAATATTAAAATATTATTACTACAATTAACATTTAATATTTAAAATATATTAAAATGATGCTCTTTCTATCGAAATGTTCGATTTACAATTAGAGCATCATCTTTTTCACGACATGTTTC